CGAATAGCGACACGTTACATGTTCTTGCAAATTACACCTTGCTGAAGAAACAACCAAATTCTTGCAAATTACGTCTTGAAAGTAGTCATAAAAATGCCCCATGAAATATGTTGCACCTCAGTTAGTCCACATTTTACAGAAGTAATCTAAGTAATTTTTATGAACCTTACAAAACGCGCTCTTCATCTTTGTGATCCAACGTTCAGTAAAAGGGTCTCCTCGGTATTCGTTCGCTATGAGATGCAAGAGCGCTTGTGAAGTAGCGCGAGTAACAGCAAATGCTAACAAAGGCAACCCCTTGACAGGGCTGCCTTTGATAATCTTTTCCATGAGACGACAGCAATCAGTAATGGCTCTGATACCAATTTACAATTTAAACGAATGAACAAGTCACAAAGAGAGTGGATGCCCTATTACAAGATTTAAATCCCTGAGCATTAAGTGAGTGGGTGATGCCGTTCACCACAAACACTAGCCACCTGCCACTGGGAAAAAGTGGTTGGAAAATTCCATTACAATTCAAATATCACGTATAGTGAACGAAGCCCCTCGTCAAAAATTGCTCTGGATCAGGAGGGAACCGAACCATTCCCCTTCAAGGCCGAATGCAACGTGCTATCCATTACACCACTGAGCCTGGTGCTCCAAGATTAGCCTGACAGCACATCCACTGTGTATCTGTCTCTCAAGGAAAAACACCACTTCGTTTTCTTACTGCTCCTCATACGGTATATACTTTTTGCAGTAAACGTCTTTTTCTTTGTGGCGGCTTCGTTCACCGCCTTTCGCGGATTTTCCACGAAGAAAACGTTTTGGTAACGAAAATTTTTCGCCACATAATTGTGCAAACAAACAAGGCTTGCCATTTGAGAGAATATATAAGTCATAAAATGTCATGAATTACCCAACGTGTAAATTACAAAACGTAGACAAATTTTAGGTGAACACAAATTATAAAATGTAATAAATCATAAAGATGAAGATTGATATGAGTTTCATAATGGATTTTTACAGTGCCATTGCTTCTCGTAGAGAATGAATACGGAGCAGAACTTAACTTTCAGATCTGCTCAGTGCTAAAAACACGCGACGTATGCAGTAATCCTCGTGGTGTGACGTTTTTTTAAACACTCACAAAAAAGTCTTGATGTGCATGCCAATTTCGGTTCTCTCGCACAAACCTTAAAATCCTTTCCTCTGCATTTCAGGAAACGACGTTAAATATAGCTTACATAGGCCTTTCTTTTGTCAGCAAAATGGTTTTCCACCGATGAACTGGCCACTGCCGATACTGATGCGAATTCAGCTGTATCTAAAAGACTTTTTGATTTATCAGACAGACCCACAGTATAAATTTTTTTTTTCCGACTTAACAAAACTATCAAGAAGGAAGAATTCAAGATAGTTTCTTTTATTTTTTTAAAAATACTTTCAGACCAAAATGTGGAAAATGAAGGTATTTGTATTAGAAGACCGAAGTTGTTTCAATTATACAAAAATTTTCTTTCTGCTTTCTATCCTGCTGACAAAAAGCTGTACCCTGATAAGTGGTGCCGGCCTGATTGATGACATCACTGATTGCTGGATTACATTCC